TTTTCCATTTGTTGACATGACATGGTTAGATTCAGATGATAAATATCATATATTATGTTGGGTGTCCATACTAGAGATAATCATCATGTTTAGAATGAAACCATCATATTTAAAAACATGATATTAATCATATCATATAATAAAACTATATATATATATATATATATATATATACATAGATATACAGTATATATATATATCATTATTGTGATGGGGGGGCCCTGCAGTAAGTCATAGCCCCGGGGCCCAGTGCGGTCTAATGCGGCCCTGCTGCTAACATCGCACGTAAGAAGGTTTACCTTAAGCAACATCCTAAGGTATAGTTCGGGGAACACGCCTAGAACAGGTATACCTTTAGTTAAGATATACCTTTAGAGTCTTCGTAGCGAGCTAAGAGACAACGTTATCGGGAAACGCAGCCCTGAGCTTTTACTTTTGATGGTGGTAAGAATTTTAACTAACACAGCTGACCATACAATGGGTGAATACACTAGTTCACAATATCAGACGATACGCGGCAATGATTTCAAGAGATGACGACTATAAAGTATTTTATAACCTATTATTATCAAGAAATCAGCAATGACAAAGTATATGACAGGAAAATAGTATTTTAATCACAAATTGCAAAACAATGCAGGTGCATTTTCAAATGTTTTAACTAGGGCTGTCAGTAACAATTATTATGTTGATCATCTACTGAAGATTTATTTATTTATATATTTTTTGGTAATAAAGATAGATCTAAGTGAACAATAGCCTTTAGTATGACTTAAATACATGTAACAATGAGGCAATAATAATTGGTTCAAATAAAGTATCAAAAGCGAGTCATGATGTTTTATTGAACAGCACTATAAAAATACATTAAGAAATATATAAACAAAAAACTTATGTATTTTATGCATTATAACAAATGCCAGCAGAGGGTGCTAGTGGCCTGATTGTTGTTACACTTTACATCCAGAGCAAACCATTGTTTATCTAATGTTTATTTGCACTTAATCTGTAATGTTTGGCCACATATTTATGACAGAAATACATAAAACGTATGTATTTTATATATTATAACAAATGCCAGCAGAGGGCGCCAGTGGCCTGACTGTTGTTACACTTTACATCAAGAGCAAACCATTGTTTATCTAATGTTTATTTGCACTTAATCTGTAATGTTTGGCCACATATTTATGATAGAAATGCACCGCACCCACTGCTCCAGCCTGCAATGGTCCTTACTTGATCTTAGTCCTGCCAATTCACATATCATAAAGTCTTTGCCAAAAACATAACAAAAACAATACGGCAACTGAACTTTTCCTCCATTATTGTCCAGAAAAAAACTGAAAGTTCAAACCTGACATTAGAATTACACGAGAATTACACAAACAATTAAAGTAAAGCAGTAAGGATTTTATTTTTCAAAATTAGATGAACAATGAAAACAAACAACAACATCAAGAACAACAACAAAACTTCTTAATGGACCTAAAATAAGTTTTATTTTCTTTATGCAAAATATATTTTCTAATTTCTTTATTTTATTTATTTAAAAATGTTTTATTTGATCTGGACACATTCTCCTGAGAAACACACACAAATGAAGATCCAAACTCACAGACACTAATGCAGACAAAACCACATCCAGTGAGGAGAGACCTCAACCAAGAGAACAATATATATATAGTAATATATAATATAAATAAATTATAAATAAATAATATATATATATATTGCTGATATCGCGTTTGGTCTCGTTCTGTATCGCGTATCTTGTCAGTGTCTGCGCTTGCTTGGCCATTTGTTGTGGAGAAAATAAGGAAAGTGTGTCCAGCTGAATTAATGTAGTATTTTGTTAGAAGAGTATAAAAAACAAAATCTTAGTTGACCAAAGAGTGTAAAGACCATCGAATCTACCGTGCGACTCCACCGGGCAGGACACCGGTTTCTGAGAGGTTTCTGAGAGAGAGAGCGAGAGAGAGAGAGATAGAGATAGAGATGCGCCGGCGTTATTTACTTGTCTCATTAGTGTGTAGTGCAGTTGTCGTTGCTAGGAAACGCTTGTTTTGTTTACTGTGTGGAGACGTGCTGATATCGCGTTTGGTCTCGTTCTGTATCTCGTATCTTGTCAGTGTCTGCGCTTGCTTGGCCATTTGTTGTGGAGAAAATAAGGAAAGTGTGTCCAGCTGAATTAATGTAGTATTTTGTTAGAAGAGTATAAAAAACAAAATCTTAGTTGACCGAAGAGTGTAAAGACCATCGAATCTACCGTGCGACTCCACCGGGCAGGACACCGGTTTCTGAGAGGTTTCTGAGAGAGAGAGAGAGAGAGAGAGAGATAGAGATAGAGATGCGCCGGCGTGATCGAACAGCTGAAACATAAAAAACATAATTTTGGCACAAAGTGTTTACTTTTATTTTTGCACACTCAAAATAACAACAGAACATAACAAATGCCAGCAGAGGGCGCCAGTGGCCTGACTGTTGTTACACTTTACATCAAGAGCAAACCATTGTTTATCTAATGTTTATTTGCACTTAATCTGTAATGTTTGGCCACATATTTATGATAGAAATGCACCGCACCCACTGCTCCAGCCTGCAATGGTCCTTACTTGATCTTAGTCCTGCCAATTCACATATCATAAAGTCTTTGCCAAAAACATAACAAAAACAATACGGCAACTGAACTTTTCCTCCATTATTGTCCAGAAAAAAACTGAAAGTTCAAACCTGACATTAGAATTACACGAGAATTACACAAACAATTAAAGTAAAGCAGTAAGGATTTTATTTTTCAAAATTAGATGAACAATGAAAACAAACAACAACATCAAGAACAACAACAAAACTTCTTAATGGACCTAAAATAAGTTTTATTTTCTTTATGCAAAATATATTTTCTAATTTCTTTATTTTATTTATTTAAAAATGTTTTATTTGATCTGGACACATTCTCCTGAGAAACACACACAAATGAAGATCCAAACTCACAGACACTAATGCAGACAAAACCACATCCAGTGAGGAGAGACCTCAACCAAGAGAACAATATATATATAGTAATATATAATATAAATAAATTATAAATAAATAATATATATATATATTGCTGATATCGCGTTTGGTCTCGTTCTGTATCGCGTATCTTGTCAGTGTCTGCGCTTGCTTGGCCATTTGTTGTGGAGAAAATAAGGAAAGTGTGTCCAGCTGAATTAATGTAGTATTTTGTTAGAAGAGTATAAAAAACAAAATCTTAGTTGACCAAAGAGTGTAAAGACCATCGAATCTACCGTGCGACTCCACCGGGCAGGACACCGGTTTCTGAGAGGTTTCTGAGAGAGAGAGCGAGAGAGAGAGAGATAGAGATAGAGATGCGCCGGCGTGATCGAACAGCTGAAACATAAAAAACATAATTTTGGCACAAAGTGTTTACTTTTATTTTTGCACACTCAAAATAACAACAGAACATTTGTGATTTTGTAAAATAAAGCAAGGATGCACGTTTAATTAAAGTTACTTATTTAAGTCAGATATTTTTTGCATATTTATACCTATACAGGTGCATCTCAATAAATTAGAATGTCATGGAAAAGTTCATTTATTTCAGTAATTCAACTCAAATTGTGAAACTCGTGTATTAAATAAATTCAATGCACACAGACTGAAGTAGTTTAAGTCTTTGGTTCTTTTAATTGTGATGATTTTGCTCACATTTAACAAAAACCCACCAATTCACTATCTCAACAAATTAGAATACTTCATAAGACCAATAAAAAAAAACAATTTGTTGGCCTTCTGGAAAGTATGTTCATTTACTGTACATGTACTCAATACTTGGTAGGGGCTCCTTTTGCTTTAATTACTGCCTCAATTCGGCGTGGCATGGAGGTGATCAGTTTGTGGCACTGCTGAGGTGGTATGGAAGCCCAGGTTTCTTTGACAGTGGCCTTCAGCTCATCTGCATTTTTTGGTCTCTTGTTTCTCATTTTCCTCTTGACAATACCCCATAGATTCTCTATGGGGTTCAGGTCTGGTGAGTTTGCTGGCCAGTCAAGCACACCAACACCATGGTAATTTAACCAACTTTTGGTGCTTTTGACAGTGTGGGCAGGTGCCAAATCCTGCTGGAAAAATGAAATCAGCATCTTCAAAAAGCTGGTCAGCAAAAGGAAGCATGAAGTGCTCCAAACTTTTTTGGTAAACGGGTGCAGTGACGTTGGTTTTCAAAAAACACAATGGACCAACACCAGCAGATGACATTGCACCCCAAATCATCACAGAATGTGGAAACTTAACACTGGACTTCAAGCAACTTGGGCTATGAGCTTCTCCACCCTTCCTCCAGACTCTAGGACCTTGGTTTCCAAATGAAATACAAAACTTGCTCTCATCTGAAAAGAGGACTTTGGACCACTGGGCAACAGTCCAGTTCTTCTTCTCCTTACCCCAGGTAAGATGCCTCTGACATTGTCTGTGGTTCAGGAGTGGCTTAACAAGAGGAATACGACAACTGTAGCCAAATTCCTTGACACGTCTGTGTGTGGTGGCTCTTGATGCCTTGACCCCAGCCTCAGTCCATTCCTTGTGAAGTTCACTCAACTGCGGTTCTCTCGGTTGGTTGTGCATCTTTTTCTTCCACACTTTTTCCTTCCACTCAACTTTCTGTTAACATGCTTGGATACAGCACTCTGTGAACAGCCAGCTTCTTTGGCAATGAATGTTTGTGGCTTACCCTCCTTGTGAAGGGTGTCAATGATTGTCTTCTGGACAACTGTCAGATCAGCAGTCTTCCCCATGATTGTGTAACCTAGTGAACCAAACTGAGAGACCATTTTGAAGGCTCAGGAAACCTTTGCAGGTGTTTTGAGTTGATTAGCTGATTGGCATGTCACCATATTCTAATTTGTTGACATACTGAATTGGTGGGTTTTTGTTAAATGTGAGCCAAAATCATCACAATTAAAAGAACCAAAGACTTAAACTACTTCAGTCTGTGTGCATTGAATTTATTTAATACATGAGTTTCACAATTTGAGTTGAATTGAGTTCCACTAACTCATATTGATATGACTGAGAAAACCAACACTTTCATTATAATGTACAATATAAACACAGACAAATGCAGAGTAGTGTTTTAAGTGACAAAAGGTCCAGTGTTTGCCTGTTTTGCATCATCTCGTCTGTCTGGATCTGGTTCAGATGCAGCTACAGCTCTTCCAGCACAGATTTGGATCAGTTCAGGGTGTAACCAGCTGTTTGTCATGTGCTCATCACACAAGAATTACACTAGAACTTCTTTCCAATGTTTTTCACATTCTTCACCGGCAGCAGCAATGCGGTTGAGCGTGACTGTCGATGATGTCACAGCAGTGGGCGTGTCTTGTCTCCTCAAACTGGACTCGTCGCCTGCGGCTCGCTCCCTCCATCAGTGACTTCCCCATTCAACAGCGGCGTCACTACAGTCGTTTCTTCACTCGCTCCTTCAGCTGTGGAATCTGGAAGAAAACACAGAGACCATCATAGAAACTGAAACGGCTGATAGAAGCAAGTTAATCTTTTTGTTGACTTCAGAAGATACAAAACGATTATCAGTGAATAAAGACTTAGATTTTTGCTCTGTTCCTCACAAACAGCATCTTCAGGACTATTTTTGTGGTGTTTTGATCATTTTAAGCTATTGACAGATGTGGTCACTGAATATGAACGGGTTTGTTATAACAACCAGCTGACATTTTGCCTTACTTAAAATGTACAGAACAGACACTCAAGAAATAATTGCAATTATTTTCCATTAAATGTGCAATAAGAAGAAACTCTGTAAAATCACAGTGTAAAGTTTTATCTCAACAATTAAACAGAGAAAATAATGCAAAAACTCCACTGACATGATCACTGGATATCCAAAATGCCTAAATATACTTAGAAACTTCCACATCATTGCATTCTGTTTTTATTCACAATTTGTACAGTGTCCCAACTTTTTTGGAATCGGGTTTGTATATTTTTTTCATTTCAACATTTTGCAAATTCTTTAAGCTCTTAAAAAAACATCCTTTATAGATGCTCATGTATTCTGAAATGCACAAACACAGACAAGTGGAGAACCCTGTTGAGGACGGTTGTATAATTAAGTAACTAAACAAACACACATTAATAAATGCAGTTCTGCTCACCAGTGACTGTCACATTGAATCTCCTGAATGTGGTCTGTTCGCTGTTGATGATTTGCAGTTTAAAATGTCCAGAGTCTGTGGTTCTGATGTTTCTGAGGGTCAGCGATCCAGTCGTCATGTTCAGATCCAGTCGGTCTCTAAAGTGCTTTCCGATACTCGTCTTTCCTGAATCACTTTTCACAACGAGACAGTTTTGAGCTCCTAGCGTCCACAGAATGAGATCATCCGTCTGAATCTCAGCAGCAGTCTGGAGAAGGACAGAAGCTCCCTCCTTCACTGATATCGACTTCACTTCATGTCACAGCAGCACACAGAAACAGAGAAGGACAGAAAAACAAGCGGCTAAATGAATCAATATCACATACATTTACATGAGATTGTTTAAAACGTAATGGCTAATGCTATAAACTATACAGGGAATCCTCTCGGTCCAGATTTACTGTTTAGATACAATAATCAACAGTCAAATACAATCATTTTAAAATAGTTTTTATTTATTTTCTCTTAATGAAATAAGCTACTTTTGTTACTACAGTCGGTTAAATGTAAACATTTAAACAGCTGCGTTGTAAAATGTAGTTTTTAATTGCAGATGTATTCGAACGTTGTCAAAACGATCTGCGTTCACGTGAGAACAATTAGAAACATGTATTATTCTGCCAGGCCAGTAGATGGCGATACCACTTTGTAAAGGAACACTATGTGCCTATAGATGAACAGGTAATATGCATGCGCATGATGTCACCATGTTCACAAATTAGCATTTTTGTTTTTCAAAGAACTTGCACTTTGAAACCCGTTTTCAAAAGCAAAACACTGTTATTGTGTAAATGGACAGCCAAAATGCATAAACGTTCTCATTTTTAGTTGAAAATAATGTCGTGTAAATAGATTAATGTAGACGTAGCCTTAAGAAATGAAGATGCATTAAAATTGGGTAATCGATATTGTCAAACCAGCCTTATATCTATGATTCCTGATCATGTCTTTTCTCGTTTTGAGACTTGTTTCTCCTCAAAATATGCCTGTTTATTCATCTTTAATCTCCTAATTTTATAGGCTTTGTTCTCATGACATTATGAATTCATAACATGGCCCTATACTCGCAAGCAGTCTAAAAGCAATGTAATCTTTGAGTTAGTGTGAACATGTTTCAGATCATTTGGTGCACGCTCTTTACCACACTAGAAGAGTTGATATTGAGAAGTTTATTCATCAGACATAAAACAGCATCAAAACTGTGTAACGTTGATGTAATGTCGACCAATGAAGAGGTAATACTGACTGTCAAGCTTTGGGGTGTTGATCCGACTTTATCTACGTTTTGATTATCATTTTGAATCCAATTTAGTCTTTTTTTCAGCTTTTTGTTCAAAATATTGTTTATTTCGTTCTTTCTTTTTTTTTATGAAACGTATCCACATTCAAGTGTTTAAAAAAAGAATGCATGAAGCTAGAATAAATGTTTTTGTTTACAAGCAGATACCCTGTTCTTTCTTTTGATGTTTTGTATGTTCAGATATTCAGATAACAAAACATATACAAATTAATACCTAAATAAGGACATAATAGTATGCTTAAAGTATGACGTGAAGTTCACTTAAAGAAAACGTACGAGTATACTTGCAGTATAAAACTACTAAACTAGTAGTCTACTGAGACTATACTTCAAAGTGTACTAAAAATGCTACTACAAGTATTTAATTAGTAAACTATCAGTATACCTAGAAGTTCACTTTTAGTATAGTTGCAGTACAAGCTAAAAACATAGATGTAAACTAGTTGTGTACTCAAAGTTTACTACTGTTATACTTAAAAGTATACTTTTATCTACTAGAAAGTGGGCCAATTTAGTCCCAAGTATTGAAGTACACTTACAAGAATACTACTAGTAAGCTGATATTTGTATACTTGCTACATAAAGTATACTTGAACTTTACTTAAGTATACTTAATCAAATAAACTTGGAAGTATACTTATTTTTGCTAAGGGATACTTACCACTGACAGTAAGAATGAATCTCTTGTGTTTGGTTTGTATGCTGCTGCTGATGTTTAGCTTATAGAGTCCAGAGTGAATGGTTCTGACATTACTGATAGTGAGATCTCCAGTTCTGTCATCCAGCATCAGTTTGCTCCTGAATCTCCCATCAGCACCCGCTAATGTGCTTCTGGTCCCTCCATTGATTTGAGCAATGCGATTGTCTTCAGCTTCATAGCACCACTCTATCATATCATTAGCATTTATTTCAGTAAGACCAGTGTGTAGAGTTGGAGAATCTCCCTCCGTCACGGTCTCTTCCTTCTCTTCGCCTGCCACAGCTTCACACAGAAACAGAGAACAGGAATGTGTTCATGAGCGTCAAAGCCCCTTTCCCCTTTCATGCAAGTGCAGCTTTTATCTCTTTGAATGAGCAAACATCAAATTCTCCAAAACTGCTCGCCAAGCTTATGATTAAACTTCATATTTGAAAGCACCAATGAAATCTGACGACAACTGTCTCAAACTCTGCTTCTAAACACTCAAATCATTTAAAAAACTGCATTTGATGACTTTACCAATCAGCGATTGGCTCATGTATTTGAAATGCAGGAGTAGAAGGCAAGTAGCTTGTTAAACTACAGTTTCAGAGTACTGGACTCTAAAATAAATGGACAAACGAGTGACTCAAAATAATGAAATGCAGTTCTACCAAGTTTGGAGGAGATGGAAATCCTGTCTGAAGTATATAATCCTTACCCATTTGCTTTTTTAATTTAGCGATCCTGTGGCGATAGTAAATGAGAGCCAAAGCTGCAGCCACAAGCAGCAAAACTGGAACTAAAACACCAAAAACAACTCCTGCTACAGCACCTGAAGAAAGACCTGGATCTGGGACAGCTATAGAGAGAGAGACAGTCAAGGTGTCAGTCACATGACTTCAAATACTGCATGCCAAGACGTGCTCTTTCAGTTCCTCACCATTGACAGAAAGAAGGAATCGCTGCGCGCTCTCACGGCCTCTGATCTGCAGCTCATACAGTCCAGCGTGTTCACTTCTGCTCTTCTTGATAGTCAGAGATCCGTTCTGATTCAGCTGCAGTGCACCTCTGAATCTCTCATCGGCATCGTTTAATGAGACCTCACTAGATTCAGTATCGATTCTAGCGAGGAGGATTCCTTGATCTCCAAACCTCCAGAGCATCAGAGCATCTTTGTGCATTTCAGCATCAATGCATAGAGTGACAGGATCTCCCTCCGTCACTGAAACTGACACGGACTGCACTCCGTCCGCCTCATCAGCCACGCCTGCGAAACAAGCACAACGCTGACTACATGTGTGGTGCAAATTCTGGAAACCCTCACTCAATAAATGCAGATGTGTGGTCTGAAATCATGAAACTACTAACCCAGGATAAACATTAATGCTGTGAAATATAATGACTAAATTATTAACAGACTGATCTAAACCCGGATCATTAGCTGCTTTTCCACCGCCGGGCTGAACAAATACACGTGCAAATGCGAGAAAAGTCCTAATTGTCAGGAAAAAAACACGCAATTGCACAAAAAAAGTCAAGAGTTATGAAATATAAACTCACAATTGTGAGAAAAAAGTCAGAATTGTGAGACATAAACTCTCCATTGCAAGAAAAAAACTCTGAATTGTGAGATATAAACACAATTGCAGGAAAAAAATATGAGAAAAAAAGTCAGAATATTTAAGATAAAACATGTAATTGTGAAGAAAAAAGTCAGAATTGCGTGCTTATATCCACCAGGTCTGAGGAAAAAGGTAAAAGAGTTGTGAGATATAAATTCTCATTGCAAGAACAAAAATCTCTGAATTGTGAGAAGAGGAACAAAATAGAGAGATATAAACTTGCAATAGTGAGAAAAAAGTCAGAATTGTGAAATATAAACTCTCCATTGCAGGAACAAAGTCAGAATTGTGAAATATAAACTCCATTGCAAGAAAGAAACTCAAGAGTTGTGAGATATAATCTCAGAATTGCATGAAAAAAGTCAGAATTGCAAACAAATAAAGTGGCAACTGGCTCTGGGAACGGTTTGGCCCAGCGGTGGAAGAGCAGCTGATGTCACACAGAAAGACTTTAGATACTCACTAATGACAGCAACACTAAATGTCTTTGTCGTGGTCTTTTCTCTAGAGATGGAGAGTTTATATTGTCCCGAGTGTCTGATTCTGGTGTTTGTGATGGAGAGAGATCCAGTCTTCTGATCCACCTGCAATCTGCCACTGAACCTAACATCATCGGTGACTAAAAATGAGGTCAAGTCAAGCTTTCTCTTTATTTGAGATATGAGAGAGTCTTTCGGTCCGAACATCCACAGTATGGTGTCGTCGTTGAGTAGTTCAGAAAGGTTAGTGTGTAGAGTGACAGAATCTGCCTCCATCACTGTCACGGACTCAGATCCCTCCGTCTCGGCACCAGACACAGCTGCAAACAGACAAACAGATGTGGAATCACTCTTCAGATTGTGAAGGGAACATCCAGACCAGACACAACGAAGCTAGCAATGAAACAAGATAAATGTACTTGACAAGCAACACAGCGTAAGCGATTAACGTTTGAAGTTCACCCAGAAATGAAGATTCTGTCATCATTTACTCACCCTCAAGTTGTTCTAAACCTGTATGTTGAACACAAAAAGAGATATTTTGAAGAATTTTGGCAACCAAAAAGTTCCATTGGCATTTTTTGTTTCATACTGGAAGTCAACAGTGCCCAGCCACTGTTGAAAATATCTTCTTTTTTTCCAACACAGAAATAAAAAGAAAACTCATATAGGTTTAGAACAACTTCAGGTCATCATTTTTATTTTTGGGTGAACTTTCCTTTAAAGATTTGTTTTCATAGACTGAAAAATAAATATTGTTTTAATAGAACTTATAGTTTACACAAGTGAAACAATAAACTAAACAAAAAGCATTATCTAAACCAATGGCCAGTTGCATAAACTGCTCAGATTGTCTTAAAAGTCAGACATCAATTATTTTCTTTCTTCAAGACCAGTCAGAACCATTTAATAGCATCTACGTAAAGTGATAGATTGCTTCAGTTTGATTTGGAAAATGTAGATGTATTACGCCTTGGCTAACTGCACATATTACTCCATTAAGTGAAAGTTGTAAAGACAGATTTGTACTTCTGTACTTTCACTTAAGCACCAAAAGTACATTTCCTTGTTTATGTCAACGCACTGTTTTATGATTGTTGTAATACTTGCACGACCTTGTGTCTTACATTACGCATTACGCCTGCTGAATACACTGCCTAGCTTGCAGTATCTTTGGAATAAAGAGCTTTTAGAATGTTAGAAACCTATAGAAATATAGAAAATAGAGTTGAGGTGTTTTGTTAGGAGACACACAACAGTTCTTCAGTGGCTTTATAGGTATATTGTGTCTAATATATAGCCTTCCACGATAGTAACTTCTTATTATTGAATTGTTGCAAATATAAATATCACATTTGCAACTGCTCAGTGTTCAGATAATGCTGGGAAATCCCTTCACGTAGCCCCACAAGAGCGATTACTGACACACTGTCTGAAAAACCACCTACTGACTCTCACAGCTGCTACATAGTAATGCCTTTCCACTTCGAGGACCTTGATACAAATGTTATCTGAAGTGCAGAACTGTCCACCTCTGCAAGTGTGTCAAATAGTTCTTAAAACACAAACAACGTGTCTTAAAAAGACTTATGCAACTGGCGCTTGGTGTTTCTTCTCAAATAGGCTTCATAGCGTCTCGACAAAAATACTTTTCAAGAAGAGGATCTTTTCTTCAGTTCCTCTCTACTTGGATACTTCTTCTGTCATTAATAAATCATCACTGAATAGTGAAATCACCACAAAAACAGCTTCTCTAGGAACATAAGAACCGAAACCGAAAGGAGCTCGCGGTTCAGAACTGACCGTATATTAATAATAAGAACACAAAGCGCGACATGCTGCGCGCGCTGCTGTAGATGCGTGAAGAAGAGTCTGAACCGAATACAGATGTGTCCGCTTCTGTTCCGCTGGATCTCTGCTGCAGAGCCGCAACACTGGATCCGCAGAGGAACGAGGAGCACTGCTTCTCTCAGCGATGTCAATGACCTTTAGAGAACCAGTATATACACCCGAAGTTTAGAAATATAGCTATATCTGTCCTGAGAGCAGAAGGCGATCGGAAACCCGAAGCTTCGCGGACACATCCGGGCTTCGAGCACCTGCGCCTTTGCTTCCTCGACAGGTGCTTTTATTTATTATTATTATTAATATGTTATATATATTCCACTTTGCGCACAGCTTCCCAGTCAAACAAATATATGTCCTGCATAAAAATCAAACGCGAATATCAGGCGTGGAGACGGTGTTCCGGCGAACTCAGTGTCCCTGTGTCCCTCTCACAGCGCATGCGCAACTTCGCAGTGTTGCCAAGTCCGCGGTTTTCCAGCGCTAGTTTGTAGCAGCAATTGGGCGTTTCTTTTTTATATATCCTGGCAACCCTGAAACTTCAGCACTACAATCATGACTTCATGATCTCGCCCGGGCTAAGCAAGTCAGCTTATGGTGGGTTTGCTGTCTTTCTGCAAGCAACATTTCAGCATGTTAATTAGATAATTTGTAATTAAATAGGTATTCATGTACATGACGTCCTGTTCAATCGCTACATAGAGTCAGATTTCCTGCTAATTCTAACTCTTTCCTGTTTTATGAAGTGTAACACCATACATTACAGCAAGCCTTTCTTTAATCTTGTGCGTGTAATTGTGAACTTACGGTACGGGTGCTGAGAGCAGTCAAAATGCACGTAAAGAA